GTTCAAGAAGGCCTTCAGAGGGATGATTAGGAACAAGTGCAAAATATGTAAAAATGGGAAAAAGAACCGCTGTCTACCCCGGTCTGATAACTCTCCTCTTGCAGTGCTAAGCTTTACCAACTTAGGATTAAGAGAAATTAGAGGACTGACCTGAGAGCTAAATAGAGTGGAAAACGCAGAGTTGACGTTTTCACAGTAGCGGAAAAAGTTGTGGAAATTCCGGGGACACTTCCAAGGTTGACTTTAATACCAGGCTCCGGGAAGGAAGTTAGAGAAAAATTGGATCACCGTAACGGATTAAAACACTCCAAACTCTCCATATGGGACGAAGAGCAGCATCATCACATTACACATTTAACAAGTCAAAGAGATCTAGAACAGGAATAAGGAAGAGAAATTCAACTTTGAAATGCGCATCTCACTGAAACAACCAAGTGTCGTTTCTTCACGAGTAGCCAGGCAAAGTATATGAAAAACACTTTCATGATCAGCATTAGCTTACTCTGGATACAACCTTACTACAATCACATAGACAGGCCACCCAATGACTGTTTTCTGTAAAATTTCTGTTTGGAGAAGCAAATATTGTCACTGCCCAGGTTAGGCTATTGTCCGTACAAAAAAGGAAACCTAAAATGTTTGGATTAAAAACTTTGATGGAAAGAGGAATCAGCGGTAAAATTCTCACTTTCTTAATACATTAAATTGCATCACAAATTTTCCGGCGGAAAAATAATGCTGAAGTCCTTGTAATTTCGAAAAGACTTAAGTTCCCAAAGGATGAAACAACAGGTACAAATTTTATAGCGCCACCTAGAATGCATTTCTGGAGATCCTTAAAGTACATACTCTGGGTAGCCTAAAAAGTGTTTTCAGTATTTCAGTTAGAGGAAACCGGTCTTTGGGTGCCCCCGCAGAGACCGTAGACTCACTTTGCATGTTTGTTTCCCGCAGATGCGTTTGATTTTAATAGACTCGCCTCATATCGATCATCTTGTGTACTTTTTTGCTGAAGTATATCGCTTCTGTAAAGCTAGGATAGATTTTCCATTTATGTATATAAATTTAACGTCCATACATTCAAATGATGATGAAAGAATGCTGGCCCATTCGTGTCTAAGTACAAATGCCTTGCTTGTAGAGAAAATCCCACACCTTCACCAGTCTCCGCCAGACTTGGAGTATATGAACAAAACAGCAACCCTTGCGACGTTCATATCTTCATTTTGCGCTTTCCCCGCTAATTGAGAAGGACATTACCATCTTCCCAGCGTGCCTTGCGCCTATTTCAGGGTGATTGTTTCCGGTCTGTGTGATGAGAACATGAATTTTGCTTAAGGACCCTTAAAGTTTCGGAGAAATTTTCGCCGCTTTAAGGATGAGATATGGAGGTAAAGTAGGTCTTTGCGTGATTTCTCATCTTTCATTAGGAGCAGAGAATGAATGATTTGACCGTGTGACCGTTCTTTCGTTATGCGTCGCTACTTATCTGTTTCATCACAGGCAGCCCAAACTCTGTGGGAGTCCGTTGGACTTTGAATTTACAAGAGAATGTATGAAAATAAAGAAAATACGTCCTAAATTCCAATTTTGGACAAAAATAGAAATAAAAATGACTTACCTTGTGTTTGTGTTTTGTTATTTACTGTCTCTTCGCCTCTAGAGCCATTTGGAAACCGTTTTATCGACGTTTAAGATTTTGAGTTGTACTAACAGTAAGAAAAATGGGAGGGCTGGGGACTCTAAAGCCGACCGTTCCAGCTCGAAGCTCCATAAATCCCATAAAAATGGTCCAAACTCGCCAAAACTGTCGTCAAAGGATCTGTCTATAATTGGTCTTTCCCTTTTACGCTTCTGGAGTCTCAGATTTCATCTCAACCACTAGCGAAGCGCTTGATTTTAAACTTTTTCCATCAGAGTTTTCTTTCTCGGGATGCGTATGACCGGGCTCTTGGACGTGACGTAATTAACGATTGTGCTGACGTCTGCGTTTCGCTTGAACAGGAGTCTGAAACATTTCTTTTCCTTTCCTTTTGAATTCCATCTTGATAAGCTGCCCTACCGGTGGAACGAGTGTTGTGAGCTGCTTGCCCTCGGGTTAAAGGTATCTTAATCCAACATTCAGGGTGCGTTTGATTGGGAAATTTGGATTTAGATTTTAAATCCGCCGATTTGCTATTGAAAGCGAAATCCCAGATATTTTTGGATTTCCTTTTTACCGCTAGTCTGCTACACAGCCGTTTTTAGTGTCGTCACGCAACGTTCCTCCCCACTAAAGGAGCGTTGCGTGACGACTCTAAAAACGGCTGTGTAGCAGACTATTTTACCGCTGGCTCGAGACGGATCCTGATATACCCGTTGGATATTACTGCGTGTAGCACCCAACTTTTTATTACAAATATGTTGTAGTATCCAGTAAAAAAAGCCGGATCAATAAAATGATATTTATTACTTCAGCTATTTCTGCACATTTAATTTCTTGGCATTTTAGGGGGCGGGGTTGGTAATCTAGTCGTGAACCAAGAGATAATTCTCTTGCGAGAATTGATTGCAGATTTAAAACAATCAGTATTTGAACACCACATTTTGTCACACTTTACGGGTCTGCATGTTTCTTGACAATTTTGCGAATGAGCAAGTAAAAAGTCAAAGATTAAAATCTTCTAGTGTAAGTGCCGGGCCTTGGTCGTGCCGCTAGGACCCTGACTCGTCCACAGTCGTCTTCGCGTAACGCGCGCGGCGGGAGCAGGAGGTGATGGAAAGGAAAAAGGGAAGAAGTCTCTCTCCCTCGCTTCTCTTCTTCCCATCACACCCTGCGCGCCACTAGGGAGAGATAGTGAGAGACCAATGTGGACGAGTTAGGCCGAGACCCGTGGCTTATACCAGCCCATGTTGAACAGCAATTTTGCTAACCTAGCCTTTACCAGACCAAAAATCCATGCCATGCTAAAATCCACTTCCTAATAAAACTGATCAATTTCCCGTAAATGACACCCTCTCCCGTAAGCAGGAGGGAAAGCTGAATCCCCTGATTTGTTTGGAACTTGTCTGATCACATTCATAGTGTAAACTTCAAATATATTTGCACTTCACCGGAGTTGACGACACCAAACAAAAAAGAAACAGCCGTGTTCGTGGCTGCTAAAACTCAGGCTCACAACTTTACAAGATCGTGGGTTAGTCCCGGTTATAGAAAGTGCACCGCGCTTCCTTTCAATGGAGACAAGTTAGCCAGCCCCTAAATGATTGTAAAGTGAAGATAGTAAATTTTACAATCAACAAAGATTTACGCCTTGGAAACCGTAACAACAATAACTGAAACAATTCGACGGTTTTGCTCACCAATTTATATCGCCTAGTACTCAAGAAAATGAAAAACATCGGTAGGCCTTAAACGAAAGCTACATTTAACGTTTTTTGGTTTAAATTAACATAGTCGTACGATTATAAATGACAAAATACTTCAAACTCAATCTAGACGCTTTCAATTGTATCAAAAGCAACACACGGTTACAAATAATAAAACTAACTTTTACCTTAAGTGAGTAAAAATGATGTTTGACATCTCATTACTATAGACTATGAAACTAGTTTTAATTTTTAGGTGATAATTTATGAAACAGTTAGTATTAATACTATTCTTTTACAACTTTTGAAGTTAAAACTATATGTATCTTCTATACGGTAGGTCTTACACGAAAGTTACATTTAATAAAACTACCTTTTACCTTATGTGGGTAAAATGATGTTTGACATCTCATTACTATAGACTATGAAACTAGTTTAAATTTTTAGGAAATAATTTATGAAACAACTAATAGAGCGGTTTTCATTTGAGTGTCGAAAAGTAATTGGTTTTGCACTTTCTACACGATGCGATTGGCTTAAAAGATTCGCGCCACCTTTTCATCCAATCAGAAGTAAAACCAAAGCCAATTGTGACGCGCTCGCATGCATTTTCCCGCGCTTTGCGTCAGCCACATGTAATTACTTCGAGTTTTTATTGGTTCAATGTATTGTCTGTGTCCTATGTGATTGGCCAGAGTAATTACTTTGGTTTTGGTTTTACGACACTCAAACGAAAACCACTCTATTAATATTATTCTTTTACAACTTTTGAAGTTAAAACTATATGTATCTACCTAATTGACTACCTTATTAAAAATACACTTTAACGTCTAAGGCAAAAAAATACACTATATATGACAATTAACTGAGACTTTCAACACTAGCACAACGATATACCTGTAAAATGATGGAATGTGTCATGCTGCATCTTCGAAATTGCATCAATGAAAACGTGGTTCCTTTTTTATAGGATAAAAAGGTCTCTTGGTTATTCGTTAATACGAAGCTTAAGCAACAACGACGACGACGACGAGGTCAACGAGAACGGCAAAAAGCAAAAGGTTTATTTGGCAAAACAACAACTTTGCACGTGCATCACGCTTTTTTCTACATTTCTTTGCCGCCACTGCCTGACTACGACATTGAACGGCCTAATTTCACGTTTTGTGGAGGACGCAAACACAAGGCAACGACTTTCTTTTTCTTTTCCTGAACTTCGATGCAGTCTTTCAGAATTCAACTCCACAACAAACTGCCAGCATTTGACGAAATGATCGAGATGGAATAAGCGCGATACAGTTTGAAGCAGCGCGACTTCACTTTTTAAGTGACGTTTCCGTAGCCGTCGCCGTCGTTGTTGCTCAAACTCCCTATTCAACAATGACGACAGGCGTTACATGAAAAATGACAAGTATTAGAAGTATTTTTTTTTGGTACGTTATATTAAGGCGTACGCGCGTACACGACAACATTGACTGGTAGAAAGAACGTGGTCCACTCAAAAATTGGTCCATTGTTCTACCAGCCCGTGAACATCAACTCTCCAGCGGTAAGGCTCCCAGCGGTCTGTGTCATGCGCACGAACAACCCTCACAGATTGCTCTTCTTCTCCAATCTCTGCATGGACATCCAGGGGGAAGCCGTCATCACTAGTTAACGCAAAGGCTTCAATCCTTAACACGGAGGCAATCTGATCACGAAAACAGTTAAATTAGCACTGTACACTCTGCGTTGGTTAGGAAAACTAAATGTCGGGTCCTACGCCAAATCAAGAGACCTACAAGGCGATTTCAATTTTTCAAGTCAGAGGATGAACTCCTTAAGTGTGAAAAACAGTGCCACTGAGCAGTACTCTTTCGGTACAAGATGGTTGTAACTTTTGAGTCTGTGGATGAAATCCTAAAGTGTGACCATTCAAATGAAAGCTAGTGAGCAGTACTTTCCTGTGGTACTGTTTATCATGCCGAACAAGATGAGTCTGTGGATAAAAACCCTAAAGTGTGACCATTCAAACGAAAGCTACTGAACAGCACTTTTCTGTGGTACTGTTTAAATTGTCGTGCAAGGTGTTTCTAACTTTTGAGTCTGTGGATGACATCTTTTAGTGTGTCCATTCAAATGAAAGCTACTGAGCAGTACTTTTCTGTGGTACTGTTTAAATTGTCGTACAAGGTGGTTCTAACTTTTGAGTCTGTGGATGATATCTTTTAGTGTGTCCATTCAAATGAAAGCTACTGAGCAGTACTTTCCTGTGGTACTGTTTATTATGCTGTGCAAGGTGGTTCTAGTAATAATGACAAAAAATAAAAAAAATGATCCCTGTCTTATATCAAAATCATGCCATCATGCCACCACGCCATTCAGTCGATCATGGATTGTGTCTATTTCAGACATAGTTTTGTTTGTTTGTTTTTGTAGTTTTGCTACAATCTGAATCGGCGACAAAATTGTCAAGACATTGTCCTTAGATGGGGTAACGTCGGAGAACAAAACAATCCATACCCCTCCTCTGTCCTCTCCATTCAAAGCTGAGATGTTTGTTGTTTTCTACAGGAAGCTTGAATAGCGGCAAAACATTACACGGAGGGGAAGGAGAGAGGAAGCTTCATTTTCCCTTTTTTAAGTTTATAAAACGTTAGAGAGGTCCTTTAAGGTAAAGTGCCTCAACTAATTTTGTCGCCGATTGTAGCTTTAATATTCATGTTATAAAAAGGCTTTTAAACTGATCTTTTCAGCTCTTACATTTCCATGATGGTCTCTTCCCAGGCTGCCATAGGTGGTGGTAGGTCGTTCACGTATTGTAAACATTAGGTCCCCATCAATGTTCTTAATATGAAGCTTGGTCAGGTCTGAGAAATGTTACACAGCACAGAGTATCAGAAGTACATTCACAGGAAATTTTATTTGAACCGGGGAAACGGGTAACCTCCCAGGCAAACGTTCTTTCAGCTCGTCACGCAATTCTCCCTTTCCCCTAGGGAACAGGGGAAGGGGAGCATGGGGAGGGGGGAGTAACGTTTAAATTAACTAAGGACACCTATTAGTTAGTAGTCTCCCACGCAGCCGTTTTTGTCTCGTCACGCAACGCTTCTCCTCTAAACACGTAATCTAAGAAGTGAACCAAAACTAGACTAAAAACTTGAAAACGTCAGCTCGAATTTTCGATTTTGAAAGTTCTGTTATGTAAATTTCATCGATTGTGATTTGCTTGCGTCTAAGAAGATGAATATTTGTCTTTCTCCTGTTGTACAAAGAAAGTCGTGTTTTGTCATCCAGTGCGCCTTTATAATTCTAACTTGATAATATACACGGAGCTTTCGGAGAATTCCGGCGATACGCTCTTTTAACACCCTCCGCGGAAGCTTACGCAACCACAACGGCTTCTGCCACCCTCTAAGCTCAGGTCTTGTTGCTCGGGAAGAGAGCTGGCTCATTTCCCGAACAACAGGCTGATTTAGCGAAAGAACAGGAACGTCAGTTGACGACGGCGCGCGCAAATCAAACAAATGGCTTGACCAATGGCTGAGCAGCAAACTGGGCACCGGAAGTAGAGTTTAGTCCTTTTCGCGCGCTTTGCCGTCGTCAAATGACGTTCCCGTTCTGTTGCTAAATCAGCCCGACATCAGCAAAAATGCCACTTATACAGGTGTATAGCACAATTTGCCAAATTTTCCTGGAACGATATTCTTAAGGGCCACTTTAAAGTTTAAGGTTCACTAAGAGAAAAAAACATTGTTGTAGACTCAGGACAGTGGAGGCGAAACCTCCAACCCGGAACTTTCGTATCTTAATCGCTCTCCCTTACCACTACATTAAGACATCGACCGGCCAAAATTCCGAAAAACGTAAGTACATAAACTAGCAAACTGTCGTTCTTAACTGACACATCAATAACAGGTAACCCAAGCCCTTGCCATAAGTTTCACTGTGAGTTGAACTTGGGCGTCCACGTCGCTCTTTCTTGAGACTATTCAACAGCGAATTATTTGCCTAATATCATAGGTGACGAATTACTCCCTAATTCTGGCGCGAAATTTCAGCGTTAATTTGTAATTTCACATGTGAAATTACAAAATTGCCATGGCAACATAACGTACGTCTCAGTGTCAAGATAGCGACGAAGTTTTAAAATGTAATGAATGAAGATGTTAGGGCACAAAAAGACGCTTTAGAAAACCTGAACACACGAAAGAGCACATCAAGAAGGATTCTAACAGGTATTTTGTCGAAAAACTCTGAACTTAAGCCAAATTTAAGCCCTAAACGTTCGAGAGAGTGCAGGAGTTCTCGATCGATACGATCCAGGATAAACGTGTCAAAAATCCAAGATTGCTAACGTAATTCGTCACCCATGATATTAATAGGTAATCAAATGGTATACTCGTGAAATTAGGGAATAATTTCACTTGCGTTTTGTCCAAATCCTAATAATTTCCCTCGCCTAAAGGCTCGGAAAATTTTAAGGATTTGGACAAAACGCTCGTGAAATTATTCCCTAATTTCACTCGTCACCATTTGATTACACATACTTATTGCAACTTAATCCGGGAAATATATTACATCTATCACGACTTAAGGCTTGGTTACCAATGGTGGCACCGTCCGTTAAAAATGGCAACGACCGTTTACGAAAGGGAAATATGCGCCATCACCGAGATTAGTTAAACTCTCTAATAACTACATTAAGGGCGAGTCTAGTCTGTACCTGACATAGAATATGACCACTCAGATGTCACACTGCTATCCAAATTGATTTGAACTAGAAGTAAATAAGAACATAAAGTGGAACGCCGTTAATACGGTAACCAAATGGCCAAAAAAATTTGGCCGCATTAATGGATGACCGTATTAACGAGGTTTTTTTTACAAGAAAATGTATGGCCGTTTTGCCAGGCGGCCATAATAAAGTAGCCGTAATAATGAGGTGACCGTATTACCGAGGTGGCCATAGGGCGGGGTTTCACTGTATCTATTACTGGGCAATGGACTCTATTCACTTAAATTGATCGACGTACTACGTTTGTAGGGCGGAATTCAACACAAGATATCGCAGAGATAAGTTAATCATGTTATTTTGTACATTATCTTGCTGCTTAAATAAGGACTACAACAGATTCCAAGGCAGAATAAGAGAAAAATATTTTATTTCTTGGTTAATTATTGACAAACCTCATCCCAGGAAACCTCCATTCAGGAAACAATTGCCTTGGGGTGATTACCATTTGACGGAAAATTTCGGAAATTCTGGATGCCGGGTAAATGGTAAGGTCACTTTTTAGAAATTCCAACCGAAAATTGAGGAGTACGTTTTGAGGTAGTCTGATCATTCCGGTTGGTACGAACAAAACAGAATGTTGCTTACCATTAACCGGTTCCTTCTCGGTTCCAGACTCACGTTACACAAGTTCGCCCTTTTTTTGGATTCAAACCGTAAGGGATGTGGCGTTTCTACGGTAAACTGGTAAATCGCTTACCATTATGCTTTCGACACCCCAACCGGATTTTGCTGTCAAATGGTAAGCACACTTGGTTCCGAGGGTGTTCCCTGAATAGAGGTTCCAATGTATACACCGAAGTTACCTACCAATTAAACTTTCAAGATCAAAATCCTCCTGACTGCTCAGTAGATTGATGTCATTATCCGTCATACTGGAACTTTCAGCAATGCCGTTTAAGACCAGTCTCTCCAGCTCTTCGCCTGACAAGCTCCGAAATAGCTCTTGGAACAGAAAAAGACATGTTTATTGCCACAATTCAAAAGCAATCACCACGTTTTTTCTCTTGCGGTACATTTACCGGGCTGTTTTGCACACCGTGGTAAAAACGGTCACACTTGAGTTTGTTTCGCACTGTGCTTTCCGCGTGCAGTGCGCCTTTTACGCGGGAGATTTCATAGCCACTCTCAAGGCGGATTTCCACTGTCACGTGCGCACATAAATTTTACGTGCATTAGAGACGATGCAGCACCCTAGGTGCCAGACGTTTTTTCTCGCGTGCGGCGAGGAGCTTCGTCCGTCGCAGGCCGAAACGTCTTTGGCCAAAGGCCGAAGACACGAACGGCGAAGCTTTTTGCGCAGGTCATTTTAAAAGGCTTAACGGAAACCTGAAACCGCGCATGAAAAGCCTCTGGCACCCAAGGTAACGTTGCAAGGAATGTCGCGCGTAAGCATAAAACTTGAATCTCGCTCAACTCTTACGTTTAAGCGCGACGTTTCACTGATACATTGCCTCTTTTTTTAATTTACGCACGTACGCAAGTCAAAATTAGGCGACCGTGGAAGTTATTGGCTATTTTAACGCTACTCAGGAAACTCGCGATAAACACTACTGCATTAGGCAGCTGTCATGGCTTGCCACTTCCTTTGAACGTCTCCATGGTTATAATTAACCTACGGTAAATGCTAACATTGGGCGAATCAACCCTATTCCAGGCGAAATGACTTTTGGGCGAAACAACTTTATACCCGGTAAATATATGTTGGTGAATCGATGTCCCACACCTGGCCTATACTTTCCCGAGAAATGAGTGAGATGATAATAGTTTATGTGACTGGATCATGCAGTTTTCAAACTGGTCACAGATAGAGGAAAATATCAAACAGCCACTTACAACCGAAGAAAAACTCTAAAGGGCAATGAATGAGCACAATTGGCGACGCATGAAAGTGATTGTAGCTAAATCAACTAGAAAATCTGCACTCGCATAAATTTTTTTCAAGTTTAACTCAAATTGTATTAATTAGAATACTCAGGAATCATCGTTGTTTGTTATGAGACCGTGATTTGGTTGCTAAGGGTGCGTTCAATTGATTCTATTCCGAAATAAGAAGATACTCAAAAGTCTTGTTGCAAATCTCTTCTACTGTAATTTTTGGACCATTTAAACGTTACATACATGTACATCGGAATCCCGGGGAGGGAGGGAGGGGACTCCGCATATAAAAGGGGTGGGGATGCTCGTCGTCTCGCTTAGGGGTGTAAATTTTGGATTTTGGTCTTACTTGTGGTGTTCTGGGCAAAACGCCATCATATTTAGCCGTGAAGGTCTCGTTTAGGGTTGCACGCGAAAAAATATAAAAATGTACATTTGATATTCGTTTTACAGACTCCATTGAAATAATATAAGTTTTCACAGATCATTTGTCTGTGTTTTAACATGGTCTCTTTTAGGGGTCAAAAAAAGCTTGGGCCACGCCCAGATCGGTCTCCTCTAGGGTTTTCATTCAAAATTTCCGACGAGCATCCCCACCCCTTTCATATGCAGAGTCNAATTAGAATACTCAGGAATCATCGTTGTTTGTTATGAGACCGTGATTTGGTTGCTAAGGGTGCGTTCAATTGATTCTATTCCGAAATAAGAAGATACTCAAAAGTCTTGTTGCAAATCTCTTCTACTGTAATTTTTGGACCATTTAAACGTTACATACATGTACATCGGAATCCCGGGGAGGGAGGGAGGGGACTCCGCATATAAAAGGGGTGGGGGTGCTCGTCGTCTCGCTTAGGGGTGTAAATTTTGGATTTTGGTCTCACTTAGGGTGTTCTGGGCAAAACGCCATCATATTTAGCCGTGAAGGTCTCGTTTAGGGTTGCACGCGAAAAAATATAAAAATGTATATTTGATATCGTTTTATTGACTCCATTCATATAATCCAAGTTTTCTCAGATCATTTGTCTGTGTTTTAACATGGTCTCTTTTAGGGGTCAAAAAAAGCTTGGGCCACGCCTAGATCGGTCTCCTTTAGGGTTTTCATTCAAAATTTCCGACGAGCATCCCCACCCCTTTCATATGCAGAGTCCCCCACGGATCGGAATATTTTATTTCAAGCAGAATTTTAGAAATAGCAAAGCAATGACTGCCAAACAAGTCATATTCCATTTATTACTTGTTTTGGAATACGCTTAATCGAACACGCCCTTAAGGACATCTATCAAGAAAAAACCCCTTTGAAAAGACTGGTGCAAATGTAAAGATGACAAGATTTCTTTATCTTCATACTAACCACTTTGCAAGGAGTGCAGCTGTTCTTCTGCTGACTGCAGTTCTTGAGATGGCTCGATGTTAACAGCCCCATTAACTTGAGGCCCATCGTGTTCAATATCATGGCTTTCATCATCATCATAAACATCATCGTCGTCATCACCATCATCTTCTCGACCTGATAAAGGTGATGAGTCAGCCAAACTGCTAATCAAGGAACTAAGGCTGCTTTCGTAATCAGGATCGTAGCCATGAGAAAAACAAGGAATTGCCATGTTGGAGACATCTTGGGCTGTAAACAAAATCGGTAGAAACACATATAACGAAAATTATTACAGTAAACCACAAAAATACACCATCTACCATCTCTAATTAGCTCCCCACCCCCCCACCCCCCCTTTGGGGGAAAAAAGTTTAATAAAAAACCATCCCCCTTATTATTCTTCATTGATAAATGATAGACTGTAACCATCAATAACTACTGTAAAACTTCATGTGGACAGATCCAGGATGGTTAATTCTCCAGCCGGAAGTTCGAATTTGTTCTTGATCCTCATTGCATGTCCTTCTTTTTCTTGTACTTGAGCTTTTCCATTCTGTTTCCATTCTGTTAAAAACGCCAATTACTCGTCCTTATTCGCTATGGTAATAACGCAATTACCTGTGAATGACTACATCACTGCTTCGTGTCAACAAATATGTCTTTCAAGCATTATATCAAATGTTACAAACAACAAAAATGAACTTTGAAAAACCGGAAGGCTAACTAGTTTTCAAAAAACACGATTACAATCCGTATCAATCTTCTTCACGTTTGTCTTGCTCTATCTTTGTCAGCTCCTTTCGTAGCGGAGCGTCCGCGCGTGCTTCGGAGCCCCATACAGCCTAAGAGTAAATGAAAAACCTATCGATGCCAGAAAATTTGGTTATGAGGTCAGCGCACGCCCGTACATACTCTGGAAGTAAAGGTTAAAAACTCAGTAGGGTAGGGAAGGGAATCCCAGACATTTACATTAGGGCACATTTCTTCTAAAATAAGACGCGACTTAGCTAAGACGCGTCTCATTTTAGAACAGCCCTTAACATCTGTTCTTAGATAAGACGGGTCTTAGCTAAGACGAGAAAAACTTCGTATAAATGACCTTCGCGTCTTACATAAGACGCGAACGCATAGTACGCATGCGTTAATTTTTGGCGGGAAAATTTTCGCGCCTTGTTGGTTGCCGTTGCTACGGGTAACACTCACATGAAAACGAGTCAAGAACAGAAATAAGACGCGAACCTTTATACGAGCTGTTTTCGTCTTAGATAAGACATGCTCGTATAATTGGTACAGTTCGCGACTTATTTAAGACGCGTCTTATTTTTCCTCGTATAAATGGCCCTATTGTGTTTCGTTTTGCCGCAAAATTAACCATTTAGGGGAAACAAACGCAGTTATATTTCACTCAATTTGGTGGCAGTTACCCCGGTTTGACTTTTGAT